AGAGAATGAGGAATTTTTTCGGGAACCCTCGCATCCTATTTATAGGAGGCTGGAACCGCCTCCGTACGCGGGGCGTACGCGTACGTCACGCATGACTGAGTCCTCGACTGCCTCGCACTTCGGATGGGATGCGGGGTAGGCTTGCATAAGGACGACGTGGACGATCTGAGGCCGTGGCCTCGAGTACGCTAGGCCTACTCGTGTACGCGGGGCGTACGTGCGTGACTCAGACTTCGGATAATACCGAAGTTTTCAATAAAAATTATATATAAATTATTTATCAAACTTCAAAAATTCATATCTCCTTCATACGAACTCCGTTTTTGACATTCTTTATATCCCCGCGAAGGTAAGACTACGATCTACAACTTTCGTTTAGATTCCGTCGGCAAATTTCGAATTTATTTTTATTATTTATTTATTAAAATGACGTGATTAAGGAATTTCTTTAAAAATTCATAACTTCTTTATCTGACGTCAACTTTTGCCAGACTTTTTACCGCTGAACAACCATCGTCGAGACCTTCGATTCTCGTTCAGGTCATTCCGGCCAAAAGTCGCTTGATCTCTGCTTCGAGTTTTCAGTTGACTGTTGCTAAACCGAATTTGGAAAAATCTTAACTTCAATATACGAAGTCGGGTTTGGGCATTCTTTTTACGCACGATTCCGGTTTAATGATATAAAACATAGTAGGTAGTTAAATAGAAACTTTTTGGACATTTTATTACCAACATTTATTTTGATTAACTCAAAATTGGTTACAATACTTGACCTATTAGGCCATTACAAAGAGTTGAAATATCGGATTGTCACACGAGAGTACTTCAAGACAGCTAGATAGGGTATTAGGAGTGCGAGAGTGAAGGAATTAGCAACCAAAACCCGACCTCCCTTCAATTCTATTTATAGGGCTGATTTTCGATTTTCACATCATGAACCGTGTTTTCATGTCGTGGGCTTGAACGTCATTGCATGCGTCATCGTCCACTTGATCTGTCAGGCTCCATAGGGTGTCAGAAGTCAATTCACATCGTGAACACTATTTTCACGTCGTGGTCTCTGACACTATTGGGGTTTCGCGCTCCGAACTTCATAAATTCATAACTCTGACATACGAACTCTTTTTTTGACGTTCTTTATATCGATGCGTAGTTAAGAATAAGATCTTCGATTCTCCGTTAGAAATTCATAGCTCCTTCATCTAAACTTGGTTTTCGTATGTCTTTTTACCGTTGCACTACTAATGACTAGATCTTCGATTCTCATTTAGATTGTTTCGACCAAAAATCACTCGATCTCAAATTCGAGTTTCGGGTTGCATACTGCTAAGCTGAAACTTACAAAAATAATAACTTCCTCATACGAAGTCATATCTAGGCATTCTTTTTATGCATGCACTCGGTTTAAAGAACTCTACGACTTTCATTTAGATCCCTAAGGCTAGATATCGCTCTATCTTAAATCCATATTTTACGTCACTCAGCGTCGTACCGGTTCTGTCGCGAAACTTCGACGGATCATAACTTCTTCGTTATAACTCAGATTTCGACATTCTTTATATACTCGGAAATCTTGTCACGACCACTACAACTTAGTTAAAATTATTCATTCTAAATAAGCTTCTATCAAAAAGTCGTTTTCGACATTTATTGTCTCTTAAATGACTAGCCCTAATCTACGGGCGTTACAATTATCTCCCCCTTAGGATGATTAGGTCCCTGAATCATCAACGAAAATAGGACGTGTATAATGATTCCATACTTTATATCTTTTCATGCTAGGTAATAATTGTAACTTTTATGTTTCTTTGAATGAGTATCTAACTCTTGTACTTCTTGACCGCAGATGATGCTTAATCTTGCATCTGCTTTTCGTACTACGTTGGACTTTCAATCATAACCTTCAAGTTACACAATAAGTCCTTATTATGGACTCCTTCTTCTTCTTAGGATAAATACTTTCCTTTAGCTATTGTAGCAGACCGATAGGTCATGCTTTAATGACCTTTCATCGAATGATGCAACGCTTAGACTCAGGTCTCTTAGAGTCAAATTCCAGAATGGAATATACCTTCCTTCATATTCTAATGTGATATAATCACATTTCAGCATGTAGAATTTCTAGGTACTAACTTCTTTACCAACGAGCGCAATACAATTTGCAACACCGTAACATTTAAAACAAATTTTCACATTTTTAAACACATTTTATCAAACACATTTAAAACAAAATCTCATTGTATCAATACTTTGGTTCATAAAAATAGTTCCCAAGATCAAATACATAAAAATCCATGCATGTGTACGAGTCATGTTGGTGCCTTCCCGCGATCATCACTGGTACCTGAAACACATAACACATAACATTGTAAGCGTAAAGCTTAGTGAGTTCCGCAAAATACCATACCTAACTCTACTAGCCACTCGAGGTTATAACTCTATGGGCCCGTGGGCCGTAACTCTGTGGACCCTCTGGTCATAACTCTATTAACCTTTTGGTTCTAACTCTGGTATACTCTGATATAATCCACATAGAAACAATGCAGTATAAAAAATTACATAATAGCATACGATAACTCTGGCACATAACTCTAATTACCACTCTAGGTAAAGTATAGTGAGAAGACTCGCCTCAGATGTCCCAGTAAATCACTGACTCGGTAGGAATACGATCTAGCCTCCACCTAAACACATAAAGTAATACTCTCATAAATATAACTCTCAGAACTAGATTCTACTGTCTCTATGTACCCTCAGAAGGGTAAAAGACCATTTTACCCCTCCTTTGGCTCAAAGGCCCTCATTGTTGACCAAACCCTAAAATTCAACCAAAGTTAATAGTCAAACTTTCACTTGAAATACTGACAATGGACTTAGGTTTCTTCACAGTTGAAGAAGTATCAGTTTGAGAATGATGCAAGTCAGTATCTTCTACCTTCCGCTTTCGAGACAGCGGATGATATTCTTCACTGGCAATGTCCAAATCCTCTCCTTGGACCGGAATGATGGGATAAGTAATAGAATCGGTTAGTATCGGATGAGATTTTTCAAGGTCATCTGAGCTTTCTTGCTGAACTGGAATGAGGGGATCAATGAAGTTCATGTCAAGAATTTGACATTCATCATTAGGTTCATTGATATGTGCATATTTAGTGTGTATTAAGTGTAGTTTATTATTCATATATTAGCTAAATTGTTGCACATTATGGACAAAAGGTACTTAAAAGTGTTAAATTATGTTTTTTTAGTCCAAAGATGAAGTTCGGAAGCGAAAGGAAGCAAGAGAAGCGGTTAGGAGCTCGAGAGTGGAAAGAAGAAAGAAAACACCCATGAAAGGCTTCTACTCGTCGAGTTGCTCCTTGACTCGACAAGTCCGGTCGCGGATTCAGAAAGATAAGCATTCGGAAGTCAAGATAGTTATCGGTTTACGACTATTGTGAGAGGGACTTGACGAGTCACCATATGACTCGACGAGTCGGGATGCATATATAAAGATAACTCTATAATGCGAGAAAGGATAATTCTGGGAAGTTTCAGAAGTGTTTAGCTGCGAATAAGAAGCCAGAAGAACCCTAGAAGTCGACCAAGGAAGCTAGAATCCAATCCCGGGAGTAATTAAGGCGTAATTTCACCATTCTACTTAATTCTTTTGTTTTGTCAACATGATTAAGCAACTTGAACTTATTTGTTTGCTGTTATTTACCTTAGTTATGAACTAATTTCTTTATACTTCTGTTTGGGGATACAAAGTTGACAATATGGTTTGATTGATTGGTAGGATTAATTCCAAGTTAGTGATTAATTGTTATTTTAGCTTGCTAAAGAACCTTGTGTATGAATGATAATTAATTTCCTGTTAATAGGAAGATAATTGATTAGCATGAACATCTTTTGATTATCAACCTCGTATGATACGTGACCACTATATCATATGTCTAGGATTAATGAATATGAAACTAGGATTAATAAGGAAATTGAGTAAATTTATGTGCAAGCTTGTAAGATGACCATCGAACAAGAGGTTAATTAAGAATAACGAATTAATTAACTATTGCAAGTCTAACTTAACCCGAATAATTAATCTAGTAAATATAATTAAATTAAGCAATTGGCCACTGTTTGAATTAGTTTATTTGCTAAGGATTAGGGTAGTGAACACAACTTAATCACTTGAATCGGTAACCAACGAAAGAATTAATCCATTGCACTATTACCTTAAAATCAACCATAAAGTTAACCGAGTTGAACTAAACAGAAGTTTATTTCCCATTATTGAATCTAGTTAATTTGTTCTTTTCTAGTCTTGCATTAGTTTTAGTTAGTAAGTTTCTAGTCTTGTAAAACTAGAGAAAAAACCCTTATTTGCTAAATTAACTTAGATAGAATTAGTTTTTAATTTAATTTGCCGTTTCCTGTGTTCGATACCCTGCTTATTTAGCTATACCACAATTGATAGGTTCACTGCCTTTTGTGTGTTATTTGATAATTAAAGTAGGATTAAAACTAAGTGAGTTTTACACACATCATTCATCATGCTCTTCATCATGCTCACTGTCTTCAAACAATTTTTCAGTAGCTGCTGGACTATTATGACCTGCAGAATCATATTCAGGAATGGGGTTGGGTGATTCATGCTGAAGGATAGTGTTGTCAGCAGGTTCTGTGTCTTTCTCATTTGGCTCACCATCAGCATGATCATCAGCATCAGCATCATCATTTGTATCTCCCCCTTTTTGAGCATCATCAGATTTAGGACTAGAGGGAGGATGAAGTAAGAGAACCTCCTTTATTTGTTGAACATCAGCCTCAATGCGAAGCAGACACTGACTCATGTCCCGAGTCAGTGACATCAGTTCAGAAAAAGCTGAAGCGGGAATTTGAACCATTGAGGTATCTAGGGCAACTGGAGAGCTAGGTTGCATCCTTGGAGAGAAGTGGTGAGCTACTGGTGATGGATGCTCCCCCTGAGACTGATGCTCCCCTTGTGAGGGAAGCTCCCCCTACGAGGGATGGTCCCCCTGAGATGGTTGCTCCCCCAGAGGCATGGAATCCTGTGGTGCAGAGGAGACTTTGCCAGTGTCCGAGATGAGGTGATGAGAGAGTTGAGGTGAGAGATGTTCGCCATCATGATGTTCCACCTCTTGATCAGCAAGATCCATATGATCATCAGCATCAGCACCTCCATCATCAGTATCAGCGGTGAGAGAAGGCACAATGTATGGATTGGCAATCCATTCTCTCATCCGATCGGAGATTCCAATGTCGGTATCTAAAGGATCATCCTGATACATACGAACTGACATTCGAGGACATTGGATTCGATTCTCAGAGTGAGAAAAGTAGTCAGCAGCGAAGAACTTGTCGAATACTAGGGCAATCCAGCGTGGAAAGGGAACATGATCATCACGTACATTTGCTCGTAGAAGCTGAACAAGCTGATCAAAGAAAAGTGCCCCATAATCCAGTCTTTTGTTGAGAAGAAGGGAGCAGACAACTTGTTGCTCATAATTGCTCAGTTGGTCACCACTACGAGACTTGTGACCCACACACTTGCACAGAGCTCCAGTGAAAAACTTCCAGCCTGGGGTCATACATTGACGCAAAATAAGAGCTGATCGAGTGCCAGCCTTTGAGTGATCATAGCCCAGTTGATCAAACATGCGTTTACATCTTTCAATAGATGGAGGTTCAGAGAAGGGTTCGAAGATTGGTAACCTTAAAGCAGCACTGAGAAGTTCTGCGGTGATGAACATAGAGTGTCTTCCATGGCCAATGGTTCCGGTGATGGTGTTGTTTTCTTCATTAACGGTTGCAGTGTAGTAGAACTCGCATACTTGTTCTGGGAAGAACTCGGATGGTACATCACTGATTGCATATCGAAGGCGACAAGAAGCCAAGAAATTTACGAAATCATCGAGTCCAAGACCTCGATGAACCTCTGGAATGTCGGGGTTGAAGACTACATTGGTGGCCTTGATGTGAATGGGAAGAGGAGGAGAGTTTGGAGCAGGAATCACCCTTCGAGAAGTTGAGGAGTATGTGAACAGATATGCCGCCATTGGAGAGTATTTGAGAAATCTAGGGTTTTTGAGAGAGGTTCAAGATTTTTGAGAAGGAGAAATTAAACCAAGGGAGAAAGAGGTTTAAATATGGAATAAAAGGGTTTTTAAAAGGTAATGATTATCTTCTGATCTGCTTGATTATTGTCATTAAGGATAACGGCGCATCGTAACAACCTGTCAGAGTAGAAAATAGCCGTTTGATAAAAGAGCCGTTGACAGAAGATGAAACGTCAATCAGTGTTTGCGGAAGCGCTGAGCTCAGTGTCACAAAAGTTACATGCTGAAAAAAAAATTCTACGTCAATTCAAGGTACAACTTGCTTAATCGGGGCTAGCAAGGAGATTGGTGCGTGTGATAGATACTAGTTACATTATCTAACCATCGGCACAGATTTTTAGACTCTCATCAGCGTGTGTTTTGTCACACTGAATCACAGAATCAGTATAAGATTGGTAAGAAGGGATAGTTGCGTGTGATAGATCTTGGTGTTTTGATCTAACCATCAACAAAGATTTTTAGATTCTCATCAGTGTGTGTTTTGTCACACTGAATCATGAAACCAATGTAAGATTTGTAAGAAGGGATAGTTGCGTGTGATAGATCTTGGTGTTTTGATCTAACCATCGGCAAAGAGTTTCAAGTCGTTATCAGTGTATGGTTTAATACAGTGAATCATTCAACTTTTTTTTAGAAGACTTGAAGAAGAGATAAAGATAAGAAATCAAACCTAAGTGCTCAGTAGCAAATATCATCAGTATGTCATCATCAGCACAATGTACATCAACTTATAAGACAATATCAAACATTAACAAAATTAAACGTCAAAATTAATTACAAGGAAATCATTCCCAGTTCTCCGATAATGTAAGTAGTTGATTGAGAATCCAGTGCGTTTGTGAAGATATCAGCAAGTTGCTCCGAAGTCTTGACATGTTCAAGAACAACTTTTCCTTTTTCAACATTATCTCTGATGAAGTGATGTCTGAATGCTGAACAGGATTTTGTGTGATCTGAATGGCACTGGTGTTGTCACAATAGATGGGAGTCTTTGACAACTTGAACCCATAGTCGAGAAGCTGATTTTGAATCCATAAGAGCTGAGCATAGCATCTCCCAGCGGCAACATACTCAGCTTCTGCAGTTGAGATGGCAACTGATGTTTGCTTCTTGCTAGACCAGCTGATGAGACGGTTGCCAAGGAAGTGACATCCACCAGATGTACTCTTTTTGTCTAAATTGCATCCTGCATAATCTGAGTCAGTGTATCCATAAAGTTCAAATGCTGAGTCGCGAAGATACCACAGTGCAAGGTTTTGAGTTCCCTTTAATTATCGAAAAATACGTTTGACAGCCATGATATGAGATTCTTTGGGATTAGCTTGGAATCGAGCACAGAGAATGGTTCCAAACATGATATCAGAACAACTTGATGTGAGATATAAGAGGGATCCAATCATTCCTCGATACAGAGAGTGATTGACATTTGTTCCAGTTGGATCAGCGTGTAGCTTATCAGTCTTAGATACTGGGGTAGAGGCTGGCTTGCAGTCACTGAGAGAATACTTAACAAGCAGGTCAGAAATATATTTACTTTGACAAATGGAAATACCTGTCTTTTGTTGCTGAACCTCAAGACCTAAGAAAAATGTTATCTTTCCCATCATGCTCATTTTGAACCTTTGAGACATGATCTCTGCAAATTCCTTGCTTAGTGTCTCATTTGGAGAGCCAAAAATAATTTCATCGACATAAATTTGAACAAGAACCATATCTGAGCCTTTGTTTTTGATGAAATGAGTGTTGTCGATTGCTCCTCGTCTGTATCCATTTTCAAGCAGATACGATGTCAGTGTCTCATACCAAGCCCTGGGAGCTTGCTTCAGTCCATAAACAGCTTTATCTAACCGGTACACGTGATCAGGATGATCTTTGTCCACAAAGCCTGGGGGGCTGTTTTAGGAACACTTCTTCTTCTAACACACCGTGAAGGAATGTTGTCTTCACATCCATCTGATAGACAATGAAGTTCATGTAGGATGCGTATGCGAGAAACAGCCTGATAGCTTCAATGCGAGCAACTGGGGCAAAAGTTTCCCCATAGTCGATAGATTCAATCTGAGTGAACCCTTGAGCTACAAGCCTTGCCTTGTTGTGAGTGATGATACCATCTTTATCAACCTTGTTACGATAGACCCAGCGAGTTCCAGTGATAGTCTTCCCGGATGGTCTTGGGACAAGAGTCCAAACTTTGTGCCTCTCAAACTCATTCAGTTCTTCTTGCATGGCTTGGATCCAATCAGCATCTTGAAGAGCTGTGTGTACTTTATCAGGCAAGATCATTGAAACAAAGTTAACATACATGCAAAAGTTATTAAGCACACTAGATCTAGTTCGGACACCATCATGAATATTCCCTATAATTCGATTAACAGGATGATCTCGATGTTCAATGACTGATGCTGATTCTGGAGAGATAGATACTGACACATTATCAGTTTCAGGAGAGTCTTCAACTTCAAGGGTTTCATCAGCATCTAATGAGTTATCTGCTGATGTGGCTGTAGTATCTTGACTTAAGGAACATGGAACTGGAATGATAGGATCATAGGAATCAGTCTTATCTTCTGCAGAAGGTGCTTCATCGAATGGACAAGAAAGAAGCTCTTGAAAGATAGAAGGAGAATGAGTGACTTTTTCATCAGTGTATGATTCCTCATCAAACTTCACATGAATGGATTCTTCAACACATTGCATGTTCACATGAAAAACATGAAAAGCTTTTGAAATAGGTGAGTACCCAACAAAAATACCTTTATCAGCCTTAGGTTCAAACTTGGATCTTGGATCATGCTGATTTAGAATATAACAAATGCATCCGAACACATGGAAAAAAGATACATCTGGTTTTCGATCTTTCATCATTTCATATGGAGTCTTCTTGTGAATCCTATGAATTAGAGATCGATTCTGAGTAAAACATGCTGTATTGACAGCTTCAGCCCAAAACGACATAGGAAGACCAACATGGATCATCAAAGTCCTTCCTGCCTCAATCAGTGTTCTATTTCTTCGTTCAGCAACACCATTTTGTTGAGGAGTGCGAGGAGCTGAGAAGTTTTGTCCAATTCCTTTATGATCACAAAATTCTTCAAGAGTTGAGTTTCGGAACTCAGTGCCATGATCACTTCTTAGTTTCTTAACTTTAAGACCTGTCAGTGTCTCATTTTTACAAATCAGCGAGATGATTTCCTGTGCAGCCTGACTTTTCTTCTTCAAGAAAATTACCCATGTAAATCGAGTGAACTCATCAACAACCACTAGAGTATACTTATTTCCACCTAGAGAACGAACAGGAATAGGTCCAAACAGGTCCATGTGGAGTAGATGAAGAGGGACTGATATACTGGAACATGACTTGGGTTTGAAAGAGGACTTGGTTTGTTTTCCTTGTTCACACGCTGAACACATCTTGTCTTTCACAATGCTGAATTTTGGGAGCCCTCTAACTAGATCTTGATTGGATATCTTGGATAGATTCTTGAAGTTCAGATGAGAAAACCTTTTGTGCCAAATCCAGCTAAGATTCGTCTGAGACTTTGAAAAGAAACATTGCATCAGTGCCTTGTCACTTGAGAACATGTCAAGAACATATATATCATCTTTTCTATTTGCTGAGAGTACAATGTTCTTGTCAGTGTTAACAACTCTTCCTTCTTCCTTTGTAAAGTGAACTTCATAGTCAGAATCACACAACTGACTGATAGAAATGAGGTTGTGTTTGAGACCCTTTACATATGAAACGTTTTGAAAAACCACGTTATTGCATTTGATGTTTCCATTTCCCTTAGTGAACCCCTTTCCATTGTCTCCATAAGTGACTGCAGGACTAGTTTTCTTAACATAATCTTCCAGGAGAGACTTTGATCCTGTCATATGCCTTGAGCAACCACTATCTAAATACCAAAGATGCTCCTGACCCTGCAGTACTGAGAAACTAGTTAGAACACACTGACCCATTCGAAGATGGGTCATTCACAAGGTTATCTGATAATAAATTATAACATTCCTTAGGAAGACAATTTAAAGAGTTTGACTTAAGAGTCCATTTTTCATTCCTAACTTTAATATTATCAGCTCTTGAGGATGATTTATCAAAAGAACATTCACTGATCTTGTGAGAGGAGTCACCACATCTGTAACAGACTCTAGTTCCAAAGTTCTTCTTGGTGAGCAAATTTTTTGATTTAACACATTTAGATATGTAGGATTCACAAATAGAGCTTTGAGTCCTTTTGTTTATCACTGAGTCACGACTGAGCTCAGTGTCATAATGAATTTGATCAGTGTTAGAGGATGAAATATCAGTATCTGATTTTGACTCATTCACAGATGGATTGCAATCAGGGAGGTGCTTGAGTTGTTCATGAACAGCATGAAACACTCCATTAGAAATAGGAAAAGCAATAATATTTTCAGTCAGAGGGGTTGGTCTGACAAGATGTGTAGGATAAGAGGTAGGATCAATTCCAGTAATTTCAACATTACATTCAGTGATACCATCAGAATTAACAGTGCAATATTCATCAATTAAACTTTGATTAATAAAAGAGTTACTGACAAACTTATTTTTGAAATTATTTTTCATTTCTTTCATGGAATAGACCTCAGATTCCTTTTCTTGTGATTTAAAAACCTTTTCAGCTTCTGCAAAATTACCCCCAAGAATTTTTTCACAAGAATGAGGAATTTGAGCTGAGATAATATAATTGGCATTCTTATGAGATTTTGCCCAAGTGTGGAGCACAGTTTGTTCTTTAATCAAAAGATTTTTAACATCGTCAATTTCAGCAGACAAGGATGAATTTGACAAACTAGTAATTATAAGATTTTCCCGAGTGGACTCAATAATGCTATTTTTTATGGATATATCAGTTTCGAGAAGATCAATTTGATTTTGCAAATTTCTTATGGTTTGATTTTTCTTAGAATTAATGACACCCAAATACTCAAACATTTTGATTTTTTCATTCATTGAATAGGAAACAAAGTTATTAACCTGGTACATTGAAGAAGAGTCAATGTTGTGCTTCCTGGAATTTTCAGCATCAGACATATCAGTGTTAAAAGTACTTTTGTCTTTATCGGGAATATCCGGGTCCTCTATTTTGACCATGAGACACTTGACTTCATCATCTGATGACTCTTCATCAGTTTTCCATTTTTCTTCTTCAGCTACAAGCACTTTATGTTCCAAATTTTTAGCTTTCAGCTTCTCAATCAGCTTGTTGTACTTCTGCTTCCAGTATTCATCTGTGCCTTGTTTCTTTTGTTTACAATCCTTTGCAAAATGATCAGTCAGCGTATCCATTATCTCTTTTGCTGAGATGCAATTTTGAGCCAGCCCAAAGATGTTGTATGGCAATGAGTAGCTAATAGTTGCACGAGCACGAACATCCAAACCATGTTTTCTCTTGTCGTCTGCCGTCCAGTTTTCTTTTGGAGTTTTCTTCATAGTGCCATCAGGAACATTGTTTTTAAGAGGCTGATACATTGGAACATAAGGACCTTTTTCAACGATGTCCAGCATGTCTTCATCAACAGATTCCAAGGTATACAGGGCCTTTATTTTCCACATAGCAAAGTTAGTTTCATCGAAAGGAGGGATTTTAGCAAAAGGATGATTTGACGAGTTTGATGAAGAAGAAGATGAAGCCATTTATTTGATAAAAGAAACCTGCTCTGATACCAATTGAAGAGACCTTTAGATCAATCGATATATCAAACAAAGACAATAAATAAGAACAAGAGAATTTCACGAAGAAAAACTTTCACTAAGAAAGATAATCTCACAAAGAGATTATCATATGCACAAAGCGACAATTAGGGTTTGTGAAAGCGCACACATTCACAAACTTGTACAAGATAATATATACTGTTATTCTAGACAATCCCTACAATCCAGGGATATGCCAGCTAACTAATTTACGTTAACTATGGAAACAAGATAAATACAAAAACTGTTACAATGTGCTGAATAAAGAAATATATACTGATCAACTGAGATGCTGATACTGATGTTGATGCTGAGTCATGCGCTGACGCTGATAGACTAGTTTCAAACATCATCATATTTCAAGGTTTGACCTTACAATCGCCCGCTCAAGGAACTTCCTCGTAATCACCGTAACAGAATCAGTACCCTGCTTGAGGGTCAAAAACTCCTGGGCCAAATGTTCCCTTTCCACCTGGGGAACGTACTCATCTCAGAACATAGCAGTGTACCTCTCCCAAGTCACTGCAGCAAGCTCAGCAGGCGCATTATGCGCTGTCACGAACTTCCACCAGTCCTTTGCTCCCAAGCGAAGCTGGTTTAGCGCGAACCAGACCCTCAAATGCTCAGGAGATGAGCAAGTAAAGAGACATCCCTCCATGTCTGATATCTACATCATCGCTGCAATCAGATCCTGGGTCCCATCAAACTCTGGTGGTTTTGTGTTGTTGAACTCCCGGAACAGCAACGCATCACCACCCTGCGGTCTAGCCGCAGCTAGAGCTGCAGTGGCCGCAACAACAGCAGCCTCAGAAAGAGCAGCGTATCTCTCATCGAATGTCTCTATCAAGGTGGTCTTAATAGACCCAAACATCTCTGGAATTTCATCGCGGATGGCAGCAACCACCTCATCATGAATCATCTGGTAAAGCTCCTCATCACTCACGCCCCCTCAACTGGTCCCTGGTCTGTGACGTGTCCCTACCATGATGCCTCTCTGAAATACAACATAAGATATCAGTAATTTACTCGGATGTACACACACTCGATATCCCAACCCTACTTGATCTCTGGTGCCCTAAGGATTTTTACTTGGGTTGCGTACTGACCCGGTGCCTTCGATAGTATGGACCCAATACTATCAACCACACCAACTCAGCATTTACACCATGTCGTCCTCCCAGAGCCCCAAATCCCAAGTATGCTATTCTCTCTAATCATGTGCTACTCACTAGCAAATCTCTCATAAGCTCCTTGCTGCTATCTCAACACTCTCAAGCATTCCTAATAGAAAAATCCCTAGACTAAGGCATCATATATCAGGCCACTCTAGTCCTAATAAGAATACCTAGTCTTACTCTAGCATGCATAATATAATTCATATAGCATAGCATAACATTTCTTTTACAACTTATTGTAAGGGTATTTTGGGAAATCACCGTTCGGGCGGTGGCTAATCGTACACACGATTGTGCTCTGTCTGTTTCAAAACTCATTTTACTCCTTTTCAAAAAAAAATTATTTTATTATCAAATTTTTCCTCAACTCCTCAGTTTGAGTTTAGATACGCCTGAACATGCATATGAATCCCTCAAACCAAGGCTCTGATACCAAATTGTAACACCGTAACATTTAAACCAAATTTTCACCTTTTTAAACACATTTTATCAAACACATTTACAACAAAATCTCATTGTATCAATACTTTGGTTCACAAAAATAGTTCCCAAGATCAAATACATAAAAATCCATGTGTGTGTACGATTCATGTCGGCGCCTTCGATCGTCACTGGTACCTGAAACACATAACACATAACACTGTAAGCGTAAAGCTTACTGAGTTCCCCAAAATACCATACATAACACTGCTAGCCACTCCAGGCTATAACTTTGTGGGCCTGTGGGCCCTAACTTTGTGGACCCTCTGGTCCTATCTCTGTGAACCTTTCGGTTCTGACTCTGATATACTCTTATATAATCCACA